ACAAAAGGAAACAGAAGGGAGACAAGGCGGACACAGTGACCAACAAGAAGGGAAACAGGACCGGAGACAAAGGGAGACAAGACGGACAGAGTGAAAGGGAGACGGAAACAAACAAATAGAAATGCTGCATGGCCAGTGGAAAAGGGCGGACACCAGCAATGACAGACCTGGGAGACAAATCATAGAAATGCTGCATGGCGCGGCAAAATCGACAGGCGGACACCAGCAGTGACAGACCTGGGAGACAACTGCATGGGTAGCGGAAAACAGCGGACACCAGCGGTGACAGACCTGGGAGACAAATGAATAGAAATGCTGCACGGCCAGCGGAAAAGGGTGGACACCACCAGGGGCGAACACATCTTAAGAAAGAATTGAGAACCCCTAACAGTAAACTGTTTGGGGAAAAAGAAAGTTTTCCACTACCGTAAGAACCCCTAGTGTGTCCACACTGTTTGGGGAGAAAACAATGTTTTAGAAATATAGAAGTAAAAATAAACTGCGCATCACTTGAAGTCAATTCGCATCCGCTGCCGCGCCTCATCCGCTGCTCCGGGTCTGCGTGGCGCCTGTTCGTTGTGGAACATACGCTCGATTGAGGATCCATGGTGCTGCTTTTGAGGTCAACAAGGGAAGTGAAGCCCTCTAGGTTTAGTCAAACACTGTTCATCTCCTGAAAGTACTGTGTTTGTGGGTGTTGGAATTTGAACCCATGATCAGGAGCACCCCATGATGTACAGTGCTTTTAATCATGTATGCCAGGTGGGGCTGGATTTCTTACACAAGGAGTCCTTCCATCAACAGTGGTTCCATGTAGTTAGTAGTACACTGCCTGGAATATTCATGGAAAATGGATGAAAGCGGCCCCTTGGAGTATACAATTTGTCTCTACAAACAGGTGGCTGAAATCGCTTCAATATTTCAGGGAGTGTACATGAGTCTCCCAGACCAAAGCAGCACGGAAAACGCCACGTGTTTTGCTCCATGTCTTTTTGGGCGACCGGTCAGGTCGCAGTTTGTGAGCAGGTCGGAGCAGAGTTACAATGGATCGAAATGGCCAAATTGTCCGGGGAAAGGTTGTGGCTCTCCAGTTCTTTTCTATCTTCTTCTCCTTCGAAAACACCACCCGTTACTATCGTCCATCCCCCAGTCGGAAGCGAAGAAGCCCACGTGGAATGGCACCAGCTGGGGCACCGGACCCAACGTAAGCAGGCACAAAGTCGAGTGAGGCTCATCCATCGAATGCCATCGCTCCCAGTCGCACGAATGCCAGGTGAACGTGCTAAAACCAGTCCCAATGCTTGTGAAGGAGAAGAAGCAAACACGTGGTTGAGTGAATGTCAATCTCATTGAGTAGCTAGTTGGGATATGAAGGGGCACGGAGACTGGCTGATGTTCAACAGAAAACCTCCCAACATCAACATGCAACCAGTCTTAGGCCCTTCTGTCTCCGACAGCGCACCAGGCGCACCATCACAGCACATGACAGGGGTTTCCTCCCATGTCAGGTCGCTGGGTCACCAGCAAGCTGGGTGGCCCCGACCTCCGGTCGCCCGGATCGGACCCCCCGCGGCCCTGTTCGGAGCAAGTCACATGGAATCTGAAGGGAGGACCAGTGGTAAGGAGATCGTCTTCGGAATCTACCGGATCTACGTGTGTTTCTTGTTCGACCCAGGAGCCCAACTACAACATGACATGACGTGATGTTTTGGGGGGTTGATGGGAATAGAGAGCACTTGTTGTCACTCGATTTAGGAGAAAAAGATATCGCTCATGCTGGCCCTCTCTCGGATTTCCAAATTTCTCCATGATTTCTCCATGGACTGAAGATGCCAAGAGATGTACTCTAGAATCATGTAGATCTGTCAGCCAGCCGAGCGATGCAAGAGGAACCACTCATTTCAGGACCGCTCATGACTGCTCAACACCGGGACACTCGTTTCCAGCAAGCAGGGAGCCCAGTGAGTCAAAGGGTGGCCTCTTCTTTCCAAGTGGATTCTGCAGGGGATCCCACTCGTAGGCCTGGAATTCACGGTCACGGATTCTGTTCACTCCCGTTCTCCAGAGCATCCTGGACGATGCTGGTTCTTCCATCCGCGGAGGGTGTGATGGAGATCCATCAGTCTACATGAAGGGATCCATCTGGTTGAGAGATGGACTAGAAACCGAGTCGCATACCAGAACGCTTGAGTATGCTAAAGGCTTTCAACTGCGATGGTCGCAAGGTCTACCGGAACGATCGCCGCCCCGATTCGGGGAGGCCCCGAGCGCTGCACCCACATGGGCTGAGTGGACGGAAAGTGCGCAGCCTGTCGGGGTGGAGCAAGAAGTATTGGAAAATGCATGGAATGCCAGCCAGCCAAGGTAGTTTGATTCATGCATGTAGCTAGTGCCTACTATACCTTCTCTATGTCATATATCGGCACGTAGATAGTGAATTTACAGGCCAACAGCCTACAAGTACCAACATGTAGAGCGCCCTTTTCTTGAGCCAAACATAGAGGTCAATATGGTATGTACAGGTGTACAATCGTGCAAATACACCCCCCGCTGAACGCACTTGGCAGCAAAGGTAGTGAAGAACACTATACACGACTATGTACACGGGACAATGTGCATACTGATCTGACCTCCGGTTCCCCGGTGTTTCCTTTTATGGTTAACACCGTACGTGCCTGCGGCTTTCATAGATTCTTTGCCGACCTGAGGCGCGGGGGAACGACGATTAACTCGATTGATTATGAAGTATAATGCCGAACGGACGATTTGCAGTCGGACGCAGCTCTTTTCACATGCATCCGCGGATCGTCAACTGGAAATGGGCCTTTTACGTAGGCACACGTTTCCACGCGGCATAATTAGTGATGCTTCCGTTTCAGGAAGAGTGCACTTCGGCTAAATCGAATTTGAGCCTTGCAAAGATTGCGGATCGCCTCAAAGAAGATGACGTGAGGCAACTGCTTCCGCAGCGCGTGCAAGGACTTTTGAGAGCGTATCGACACCTAGAAAGACAATGCGCTACCACAAGCACTGGATGAAAAGAACTGCACAACTGTCATAAGGCATCGGCTCCCGCCGTGCATAGGTGGGGTTTATCGGCCGCGACCCCACCAGTCCGCTCCGTAGTTATCTTGGTACCAGGTCCAATCTGCATAGTGCCAACCTGGGATGGTACCAACGTCATCATCGAGGTCCCTCCAGTCACGGGCCCATCGATTCCTTGGGTAAGGTGCATTCTCACGGGTCTGTCGACCTCCGTGGCGCCATGTGCCCTTACCTTTCCCTTTTGCTCGATCGACACCCTCTCTTTCCGGAACATGGATGTTCCTTGGGTCTGCTCGCACGAGGTTCTCATAGGACGGGATGCTCTGGAGGTCGGATGATAGCCATCCAACAAACTCCGTTTTCAGCTTCTCAACGTCCTTCTCTTCCGAGAGGAATGAACCAGAGAACCCCAATACTTCGAAGCGGTGGTGTTCCATTGCGTACAGCCCGACAAAGACACCAGGGCGTAGGATCTTGTTCTTCCAGAAGACAAAGACCTCGTTCGACACATCGACTTCTCGTTGAGATGTGTCGGGGATCATCAAGATCTTCGCTTTCACATTGACGCCTACCCCTTCTTGGATTTGTTGGGCGGTGCGCGTTGGAATGGGCAATACCGCTGAGCTGAGTCGTTGCAAAAACTTCAAACAGTCAGGGGACATGTCCTGCGCCGCGCAGTTGAACGCGTAGAACGGATCCATGCACAACCGCTCTGTGAGCGAGCCAAATTCCAATTTGGACGCTTTGTCCATGTGCGACTTGGCGTGTGCTCGGATCGTTGCAATGGCAGATTGTCCAGTCCTGATCCTACCACCTGCAGGATTCCTCAGCCCTCGGTCCCCCCGGGCACGAATATCGTCATCCGGGAACATGTCCAATGACAAGTCGAAACCGAAGCTTGCGGCCAAGTTTTCAAGACGGACAAGCAGTGATGCCTTCCTCATATCCGTTGCCACACGAGCTAGTCGTCCACAGTTCAAGCACGACAAACATCCGAATGGGGAATCGGATCCGCAGTCCATGCAATGCTGTGGCTCAACATCGTGTTGGCGAACGGTGATCCACCGTGAAGTGAAGAACTTTTCGTTTCCCCGAGGATCATAGCGCATCTCCATCTCAGGGGTCCAATGCGCCCAATCAACTGATCCCAGCGAGAGAGGCCATGCCGAGTTGTTGGGGGCATCGCCTTCCGGCTGCCATGCAATCGCCATGTACGGAGTTGAGTACGTTCCGATATTGGCATCTGCATGCTCGAGCTGATCCTTGCAGAATTCACGGTTGTATGATTCGAGGATGAAGGCATTTTCCACCCAGGCTCCATGCACCCATTTCTCATATTTTCCGAACAGGTCCCACCTAGACCTTGCCAGCAATGACTGCCTTCTTGCGTTGTCGTCTGCCTCATCACCACGGTCAAGCCGTTCCCGGCGACGCACGACAATGTCTCGGAGATCCTGATTGAATGAGGCTCTCTCTTTTGCATAATCGTGATTCGCATAGATGAAGCATTTTGCTGACACATCATACGCATAGATGAGGAATTGGTTCGGAACCCAATCAGTGGTCACAACGGCTTGGCTTTGAGTGACGGCGAACCTGATTCCATATGACACCGCCATCTCGACATCAACTGCGACCGCAACTGGTCTGGTCGAGGCCATTCCTGCTTGACTCGTCTTCTGAATGCTCCACGGATCGAAAGCCGAGAAGTACGAATGAGCCTTGCTAGTCCTGAGTCCCCCCGGACAAATGCCACATCGGATCACATCATCCAAGAAGGCGATATGAGTGTAGTGGTACAAGACCTTGGGGTGAATGTCCTTGAGGTGCAAGTCAAGTCGTACTGGAAGCGTAGGATGCTCCCTTCGCAGCAGGCGTTCGATCGTGAACGACGGATCAAGACAGATGATTCTGTCGACCTCAGGCCACGCCATGTTGATGTTCTCCAGAATCCAGTCGTTGTGAGATTGGATTGCCTTGATTCGCACCGGCAGGAAGAGATACTTTTCAGCGAAGAGTTCCCCCTCGCGGGCAAGCTGAACATCGAGCATAAACCTATGGTTTGACGTCACGATGTCAATCAAGTCCGACACAGTGAGGGAGCGGGAGTACCTCCTCTTGATGAATGAGAACACCGATGCAAAATCCATCCATGCTCCATCTTGGAAGTCCGGAAGCGGAATGCGATCTCGTCGATTGGCATGGTTATGCCCTCGCAGCAGGCCGGAGACACGCTTTGAAACAAAGAACTGCTCCTGGTCATACCACCCGATCACCGCGGCACCAGGCACTTGGTTTGCCGGCATTGTCGTACGGATCGGAGTTCCTCCTGCTGGGACCAATTTGGGCGCATCCCTTCCGGGGGCCGCAGAACTCGATGCTGCGGCTTTGGGCACGGATGATGGCTTTGGCATGTGTTTCGCCTTGGGAGGATTGGCAGAAGATGATGATGTCCCTGCCGTTTCTTCCATTTCAACGTCGACCACCTCTGATGAGCCTTTCTTGGCTCCGGCTTCCGCTGAGCTGGACATGTCGACATTCACGACTTTGTCTCCAGTTCGGAGCTTCTTGAGGCTGTCTGGCGCTGCCTTCGCCTTAGGAGCTGCACCGAGATCAGCGGCAGTCTTCCTTTTGAGGGCAGGCAGTTCCTCCGCAACCGGGCGGTGAACTCCGTCCTTGTCCCGTTTGTACGGGCAAGGTTCCGCCGGTGGTGGCGGTGGCGGGAGTTCATCATCGTCTCCGTCATCGTCGATGAAGTGCAAAGGAAGAGTTTTGCCTGTGACCGCCTCGGTGTAATGGCGCAGGGCGTTGCTCGACATGGAGATTGCTCCATGCGGGTTCCTCGAAAGATGCAAAGCGCCCCCTTCAAGGTATTGGGCTGCATAGATCTTGTTGAACTTCATTTTATCGGCAACGCTTTCCAGCGCGCTTGAACCTCCGACGATTTGCTGATTGAAAACAATCTCTTCATCATCGGATTCAAGAGCGTCATCCTGCGGGTCCTGGTAACCTTCGGCAAGGGCAGCCTTGTAGTGATCGCCCACGATCTCAATGATCTCATCGACAGTCTCAGGTGGTTGGTCGATGTCCGATCTGATACGAAGGTCTGACTCTTCGATCTCTACTCTAGACACGTGTTCCCAAGCGCCCTTCTTGCCAGCGTTCACGCTCATGAGCTTCTCGTCAGGGCATGAATCATTTGGTTCCGCAAGAAGTGTTGTCTTCTGAGTTGGATGAGGTTCGT